AGACCACCCCACATCTGTTAGATTCTCGTCTGGACCAATCCAGAAGCTAAGAAGTCAAGACTGATTCTTTTCAAGAATGAACTTTCCACTATGAGAACTCTTAGTTTTTGTTCTTAAGAACGCTCTGGGTATTGCCTAGTTGTGTTTCTGGCTTGCACACCCTAAGGCCCTTGAATGTCTTCATCATTTATTTCTAACCAGAGCATCCAGGTCCACTTCCCCTCAGTGTACAACCCGTATTCCACAAATATACGTGATGCTTAAATGAGCGGAATTAAAGCGTTCAGGGGGTAAAAACCACGTAGAACTAAGAACACAGGGACACAAGCCTGCAAAATAGCCTGGTACTCACAAAGGCAAAAAAGCCTAGAGTGAGCTGGGGCTCCCAAGGTAGGGGAAATGTTTTACAAACAGACTGGTAAGAATAAACAAAAACATTTCTGTAAAGGAAGAATTTGCTCCAGTTCAAGGTAGAGAAGTGATAGCTTGAGAAAAAGGTTTTAAGAAAAATATCCTTTTGAGACAAATTCATGGAAAACAACGATAAGCACAAAGAGCCCAGTTCCAAAACGTCAGTTGTCTAGCCCTGGTTAACTCCTGGAAGAAAGTCTTCACCAAGAATTTTCTCAATGATAAATGGCCAACAGATAAATATAAACATTACATAATGTTACCCCAGGTGTTGATATCTAAAACAAAAACAAAAACAACCTTTACAGAATGTTTAAATTGAAAAAGTGGGCAGATATGATATATCCTGGAAATAGTTTGTCAGTTATTTGGCCGGTATATTTCACTCAAAAACCCATTTCTCAATCTTGACTCTCAAACAACAGTAGTTGCAAAAACCAGAACCATTTAAATATTTCAATATTTAACTGGATCTAGAGTTACTAATTAGGAACAAGCTGACAAACATTTGACTACCTATTATAGGTAGAGTGTTATTTTTTTAAAAAGAACCAGAATTATGGTATTACATTGGTTTTGGCATTCATTAAGCACAAAATGTGTTGTTTGCCTATGTTCTCATTTAAGCCTCACAATCTCCTTTAAGATGCTTGTTAATTCACATTTGGAGATTAAGGGAAATAACTTGCCCAAGGTCAGTTAGTATGTAGCAGAGCCAAGATTCTAGCCATTCTGACTCTTAATTTTTTTTTTCCCACTCTACTCTGTAGTAACTGCAAGTTTCAACTTCAAGAAAAAGGACTTTATTCTGACAAGTTAGAGGGGATAAAGGGTCTTATTCATGTTTGTATCCCCTATATTCTATGGCATAGTATCATCTGAATCTCAGTTTTCAATGAATACCAATCAGAATTGTTAGAAGCAAATACATAACCATTATACAATATTTCCAGAAAGGGGGATGGGAGGAGGAAAGGAACCAGGCACTGAAATCCAAGACATCTGGTACATCTTATTACTTGTACACTGACAAATGCATTGATTGTGTGTTTGCTTCCTAGTGTAACATCAAGTTTTAACACTACAACCTTAATAGCTGTCGCCTACAGTATCACCTTTCCTTCTATACTCAGCCACACTGGTTAAGATTAGATCTGCTTGTCTTTCACTCTAGTTGCTGCAAAGCAGGAATTGTCCTGAAAGGACAAGGCTTTCTCAGATGAAGGACTGTCCTTAGGTCCCGAGGCACTGCCTCCATCATTCGGCAAGTATTTATTGAGTGCCTGCTTACTCTGGCTTAGGAACTAGGTTAGGCATCATTTAAAAACACAGGTTCTAACTTGACAGAATGACTCATGGTGCCTTGTGACATAAATGCCTCCAGGCTAAGGTGGACCCCTTTTAATATGATTCTCAAAGCTCACTTCTAAAAGGGGGAACAGGAGTTTTTGGTTTTCTCCAAACAGAAGGAAGAAATCTGAGTCCAAGCTTAGGTTGAGACATCTTGCCTCAAGCTGTTCAGGGGAAGTTCAGTGGGGAAAAGGGAACTTGCTTTAGAAGCTCTATTCTCATTGTTAGAACACGCACTCATAAATGCACACACCAAAGAGCTGTGTGCTTCCCAGCAAGCAGTGCCCCAGTTCTGGGACCACAAAGTGCCACCCTTGCTGCTTCTCCTTCAAGCAGATTCAAGGACTAACGATGTAGGTAGAATACCAGTTCTCCCAGAGCTCCTGTCTAGACCAGACCCCTAAACAAAAGTTTCAATTACATGTGTATGGGTAAACCTAATGCAGAAAAATATATTCATTTCAACATAAAGGAGCTGTTCTTTTAAAATTTTTTATTTATTGATTTGAGAGAGAAATATCAGTTTGTTGTTCCACGTATGGATGCATTCATTGGTTGGTTCTTGTATGTGCCCTGACTGGGGATCAAACCCACAACCCTGGTGTATAGCGACCACACTCTAATCAAGCCATGTTTCTAGTTTCAGTAACAAGGCAATCTTGAAGATAAGTCCCAGGCAACAACCTTCCCTCCTCCACCTCTGCTTTGCCTCAGGCCCTGGAAGCCGTTTTCTTTTTAAACACAGAAAAAATTTTAACTGATTTTAGAGCGAAGAGGAAGGAAGAGAAAAACATCGATTCATTTTTCCACTCACTTATGCATTCATCAGTTGAGTCTCCTGTGTGCCCTCACCAAGGATTGAACACACAACCTCAGCATGTCAGGACATTCTAACCAACTGAGCTACCTGGCTAGGGCCTAAGTGTCAGCTGTTTTTATTTAAGAACCTACCTCTCTCAGTATGACCCACTGTTCTCCCTCATGAACTCTAAACTCCAGTTCCACTGTACAAGAGGATTTGCTAATGTGATTAAGTCAAAGGGCCTCCAAATGAGATTAGCCTGGGGTTTCCAGGCAGGTCCATCTTCATCGCGAGGATCCTTAAAAGCAGAGATTCTTTCCTGGGGCTCAGAGGGAGATATGACTATGCAAGTGGGCTCGGCTCCGAGAGATGCAATAGGGTTACAAGCTTTGACAGCGAGTGCAGCCCAAGAGCCAAGGAACGCTGTCTCTAGAAGATGCCAGAGGCAAACAAGCTGATTCTTCCCTACAACATCCACAAAGGAACGTGGCCCTCCTGGAACCTGGATTTTAGCCCAGTGTCGGACTGTGTCAGACTTCTGACCTACAGAACTGGCAAGATAATTATTTTAAGTCACTAAATTTGCAGCAACTTTACAGCAGCAACAGGTACTAAGACACAAATTCAAAAGATACTTTGAGACAAATCAAGTGATTTAAGCAGGGATCGGGTTTTAGATGGAATATTAAGGAATTAGTGTTCATTTTTGTTATGGTATAATAGTATTAGGGCTACCTTTTAAAACTTTTTGTTAGAGATACATACTGAAATGTTTATAGATGAAATGATACAGTATCTGAAATTTGCTTTAAAATACTGCCCACTCTAACCCCCTAAAAACGATGGGAGAATAGGTAAGACATTACATTAGCAAGACTGGTTATTATATCAAAGGTGGGAATTCATGATACTATTTTCTGATTGTATGTACTTGTGATTTTCCACTGTAATTTAAACAAAACAAAGTGAATTCACTTAGACCACATGACACGTTCGATTAGCACTTTCCAGAGGAATCTTGTGATAAAGGAAATGGTATGTATCGGCACTGTTCAGTGCAGTAGCCACTAGCCCTGTGGCAACTGGGCACTACTGGACACCTGAAATACAAGCTAGTGCAATAAAAAGTTTTCAATTTTATCGTACTTTAATTAGCTAAAAAGCCCAACCGTAGCTAGTGGCTACCATATTACACAGTACAGCTCTAGAGCCTGGGAGAGAGCCATGCTGCCGTAGCATCAGCACGAATCAAGTCAGTGGACATCTGGTATTCTCGTCTGCCTGGACTCTTTCCTTTTCCTGCTGACAGCAGCTCCCACCAGCGGTAGGGCCTGAGACCCAGGCTGCAGTACAGCAGCTTCCTGGCCACAGCGATTGGCCCAGGAATGCCCAAGCCGGGGCAGTCACAATCCTTGCTTAGAATTCTCTGTATGAGGAAGTGAAGCAGCTTCCTCGATTAGGAGTTACATGGATGGAACCCTAGAACTACTTGCTTTCTTGTTCCCTGGAATCACAGAGGTTCCTGAGAGTAAAGCCAAAATAAGGATCAAGATGGGCAGTGTCTTGGTTCTCAGGTTTTTCTTTCCCTATTTCAGTTGAACATGCCAATAAATTCCCTTTTTTCTGTTTACGCTATTTTTGAGTAAGTTCTAACATGTGCAACCTAAAAAAGTCTCAATACAAAGTGCCATATAAAACTTTCCTCTGGTGTCTTCACATGGTCTTTTCTCTTTATGTACCCACACAAAACTTCTTACATGTCAGGGTCATTGGCAAAAATAGTAAGACTGATAGCACTGCTATGCAGATTGAGTTGTGTCCTCCTAAAATCTGTATGTAGAAGCCCTAACCCCCTCTCCATCTGACTGAACTGGAGACAGGGCCTTTAAGGAGGTGATCGAGGCAGATTCCTGATGCGACAAAGTGCTGCCCTTTCACGAAGAGGAAGAGACAAGAGCGCTCAGCCACGTGGGGGAACGGTGGGGGGGGAGGCAGCAATCTGCAGTCCAGGAAGAGTCCTTGCCAGGACCTGGCCGTGCTGGCGCCGTGACTCAGACTTCCAGCCACCAGAACTGAGAAAGTGAATCTGTTGTCTAAGCAACCGGAACAGCGTAACACAGGCACCGGGTACACTGGCCCAGGTGCGTGTCACCACCAGCTCCCTCCCTCATCAGAGTGCGGCAGACCTCACCAGCAAAAACAGTGAAAGAGTAATGTTCCACTCTTGACTTCAGCTTGGACTGAAATAGCTTTGCAACTGGTTTTTACTTTTTTAAACAACAAAAAGACCTGTCCCACTATCTTGAATCTTACTATCAATTCAAGTACATTATAATAGTAATATAGAAAAAGTGTTTTAAATGAGATTAAGCAGCTAGAATTATTATTACCAGTAACTGGGTGGGGGGGGATTTGATAAATGACACAAATTAAAGTATTAATCTTTTTTAACTTTTCATACTTTAATGCAGTATCAATAGGTTAAGAAAGTAAAATTTTCCTGAGTACTGATTTGCAGATGTTTAGAAGTGGTACACAAGACATTAGTTTCACAAAGAGTAATATTCACTGATCTCTCTAAATGCAATTTTAATCTTTATGTTAAGCTAAGTACAATAATAAATACAATGAGCCAAATACACACAAAACCTGTATATCCTGATCTACAAAAGTGGTTTCCATAGCCACATATGGTTTTAGCCGAGTACACATTTCTGCAATGAACAAGTACTAACAAATGTTCAGAAAACACTACCCAAACACTATCCTGCTGTCGGCTTTTCAAGCAATGCCATTCCTGTTACTGAAAGCCTTTATTTTTATTTAGAAGGGAAATCTGACCTGGGAAAATGAGTCCTCTTAAAACTTGACAAATAGTATGTTATATGCCCGAGACGAGAGGTTTTAAATCAAAAAGGCTTCCACAAAGTATTCATGAAACTTTTAGTTTCTCCCTCCCACAAATCACTCCTTATCAAAAGGAAAGAATATTAAAACAAATTATTACCTTAAGACAGACTGTATTTCCTTCTACTATCTCCTTAAAAGAAACACAAACCATCTCACTGTCTTTTAATAAGCCCTCAGACTACTGTAGTCTAAAAACGTTACAGTGTGGCTGTCATGTCTTAGCTCTCAGAAAGGCAAAGGTGCGTTTAGACCTCACGTGTTAAGCTGCATGGCCAGCAATGGCTCAAATCCACCTAATACATGAACACCACTTCACTGGTCAGAGAGTCAAAAGTCAGGTCTGCAAGGTCCTTCAATTACACATGGTCATTAAAACCCAGTAAGTGATTCAGGTGTGGCAGTATCACGACAGGCAGTTACAGACTCAGCCATTGCCCCAAAATCAAAGACATAAAAAAAAGGTGGGAAACTCTGTCCTTGTCCATCTTTCACTTACATGATTAGTTGTCAGGACCTTACTATGTAAATCATATGGTTATTTCTATACAGGGTCTCCTCAGAAGATAGTGAAGCTTCAGAAAGTACAAAAGTTGTCAAGATCCGTAGTTGGCTTCATCAAATGCTTTTCTAGCTCGTTTCAATTCTTCATTCATAGTAAGCAAGTCTTTCACTCGAGCGAATTTCCTTGGATCCTTTCGAATCAAGAAGACGATATCTTCAACTTGTACCCGCCCTTGTCTTCCAATTGACATTGCCTTGTGAGTCTATTATAAAGAAACATATTAATTTTTAATCTAGTATTTTACTTTTAATTTGCATGTATTTAACACTGGTGAATTTAAAGATTTTTCCTCTTCTATCACAGCTATTCATTTGTGAATTATCTATTTGTGTCCTCTGTCCACTTTCTACTGTATGATTAGCAATATCTCTCTTGCTTTATAGACATATTTTAATTTTAAGGACATAAAAGCTACCAAATTTATTGATGTTTCTTTTTTGTTTTTTTGATATATGTAGTTTTGGGGGAAATTACTCTTGTAACTTCTTTGTAATCACCAATTTCATTTAAAATAGGTGTCCATCTCCGTAGTGCTGGGTTTTCCTAAAATCAGCTCTCACCCCCGACATACTCGTCCTGGGCACAAAGGTTCATCACCGGGTGATTTCTAATGGCTAAAACAGGGAAACTAAATAGTGAGGTTTCACACAGATAAATCTGTGCACATGGAATCAGTTTATATAATGAAACCAGTAACAAAAGAGATTACTATGCAATGACATGGGGAAATGCTCTAGTCTTACCTAAATGGGAAATAAAAAACACAAAAACCCAGGTTATAAGACTGTATTAATATATACATGATTTCAATTTTGTAAATTAAAAAAAAACACATGCAAAAAGACAAAAGAATATTCACCAAAACCCTAGCATTAGTTGTCTCTACAAAGAGTGCGCGCACACACACGTCTGTACATGAGGCCTGTCCAGAAAGTAGCCAGCCACATACTACGGAAAAGACACATTTACTGCAGAAGATACAAGATACAAGAAACACTGTACACAGGACAATGACACCTCGGTCCCCTTCAAAGCAAGTACCTTGGGACCTCACACAGTTCCCCCAAGCACCATCAGCTACCCCATTGTATTTTCCTGAATTTCATCAGCAGTCTGAAACCTCTTCCCTTTCATAGGTAATTTTAATTTTGGGAAAAGCCAGAAATTGCAGGGCACCAAATCTGGCTGTAGGGGGGCTGAGTCACCTGGGTGATCTGATGTTTCTCAAAAAAATTCAGCACAAGATGTGATGCACGAGTGGGTGCACTGTCACGATGAAGCTGCCCATCACCAGCTGCCCTTGGCTGCGGCCTTCTGAATCATCCACATAGTTTCCACAGGGAAATGTTCACACTTAATACAAAATTTGATGCAGATTTGTTGCTCTATTTGCTCAGTCATTTTGAATGCAGTGGCCACATAGTGCACATGCTCACTCAATAGCATTTACCACCCCCACTGAGTGAAGTCGTCATTGTCTAAGCATGTGCACGCCAGTCCACTGTCCTCAGCTGCCAGCTTACATAGATATTGCTCAAACTATTATCCTAACTTTTTCCGGACAGACCTCATGTATATATATATATATGTATATATACACACAAAACCTTCATTCTCAATAATAAACAGTAAACAATAACTTCCACAAAACAGGCACCCAAATCGATAGCTTATTTCTAAAGGATGCCACAATTCTAGTCTTTTCTAAAATTAGAATTTCAAATCTATTTTTAATTAACTAAGACCAATTACAAAAAAAAAACCTTACCATTTCAGTGATGAACTCTATAACAAGGTCTTCAAGAATATCCACCGATTCAGTATAAGGATTCTGGTCATCCCCAAACCCATACATCATACATCGTACTGTAAAAGAATACTCATTTGTGTTTACTGGAACAAATGTTAACCATTGGATCAACACTTTTTCGAACCAGAATTGATCTAACCACTGGCCTGCGGGTGCTGACCACAGGTTGTGTTCTCACACCACCTGTACAGAAAGAGGAGGCGGAGTAAACCCACCCCACACACACCTCAGCCCAGGCCCTCTGCCTGGTCTGTATTGTGAATGGGGGGACATGGGGGAAAAAAGGGCAAAAAAAAAAAAAATAGAACTGAACCAAGCTGTAGAATATACGGGCATAAAAACATACTTACATTGTATTTGTTGTCTCCTATGATTGTGGTATAAAAGGTTTTAACCAGTCTCATAACCAACTGTTCCTACCTGGGAGGTAGGAACCTCTATCGTCTACTCACCAACCTTCCCAGAATCCCTTTTAAAAACATTTCTATTTATTTATTTTTAGAGAGGCAGGAAGGGAGAAAGAGAGGGAGAGAAACATAGATCAGTTGCTTCTCACGCCCCCAACACAGGACCCGGCCCAAAATCCAGGCATGCGTCATAACCAGGAATCAGACCAGCAACCTTTCAGTTTACAGGACAATGCCCAACCCACTGCGCCAACTGGTCAGAGCCCATAATAGCTTCAAACAGGCAGGGACAGGGTGAATGGCAATGACTTAGCCCTTGGGGGTGGTCAGTAGGACATCAGAAACAGAAGACAGAGTCCCTTCTCACATTACCATAGGGAAAAGGACAGGAGAGAAAGCGTCCAATGATCTTCCTACAGGAAGAATGGGGCAATCGAAAGAGATAGCAAAGGGCTTCCTACACAGAATCTTGACATTTCACTCCCCAGATCAATGCAACTGCCAGCAAAAGCCCTTTCAGGCCATGTCTGAAGGAACCATAAAAAATGCAAGAAAAGAAAAGTGTAACACAGAGTAATAAAAGCAACTGCTAATAGCAAAAACTTATATAGCCCTTACTCTATAGGGTGGGGCAAAAGTAGGTTTGTGAGTATGCAAAACAGTTTATTATTTTATTATTACTATTAACTATTACATTCTTTTCCATACCAACACCTGTAAACCTAGTTTTGCCCCACCCTGTATGCCAGGCACTGTTTTAAGCCTTTCACGCATATACCTCATTAAATCACGAATAATCCTCACAACAATGCTTTTACATAGATACTATTATCATCCCCATTCTATATATATGACAAAATTGAGGCACCAAATTAGTGACTTACTCAAAGTCACAGAGATAGTAAGAGATGGAATGTGAACTTGAACCCAAATGATCTGCCTCCAGAGTCTATATTCCTACCCACAACAGTAGTATCACTGTTCTTGGTAGTTTGGGGCAGATGGGATCCAAATTAATTGTTATCCTATACCCCATATAATCCCAGTTAGTCCATGGATAAGCTCTAAGAAGTCCTCAAACACTCCTAAAATTATATGCAAAAACTGTATACATTATGTGTAAGTGCCTTTTTCTAGGAAGAAAAATCAACTCTTATGAGATCCCCCAAGCAATTAAATGTTAAAAAAACTGTCATACATTGAAAATGCTTTTTATCTTAATCTGGGTGGTGGTTATAAGTATATGTATGTATGTAAGATTCATCCACAATTTATTCTGTGTAAATTTTATTAAAAAAAAAAAGGAACACCTAAAACATTTCTCAAGGCAGATGTGTACCTTAAGAGTAACTACTTAAGAAAAGCAAAAGCTGACAGAAATTTTTAAAAAAGAAAATAGACCAAACCTAGGGAACAAATGAAAGGAGTGAACTGGAAGCCAGCCTGGGATAGAGGTATCCCAAGGGGTTTACACTGGCAAGAGCCTTCAGGTCCAGATACAAGAGGGGAAAAAACAAACACAGAAGCCAATGTTCTCGTTCTCTCATTCATTCCTTCTCATCCTCTCTCTCTCTCCCCACTTTGGTTTCTGAAACTTTTTTTTTTGGAGATAACTTCAGACTTACAGAAGAGTTGCAAAAATAGTACAGGGTTCCTGCATACCCTATATCTAGTTCCCCCTGCACCTTTTTAAAGTATTTAATTAATTTATTTTTAGAGGGAGGGGAAAGGAGAGAGGGAGAAAAACTGATGTGTGGTTGCCTCTTGCACGCTCCCAAATGGGGACCTGGCCCAGGCAAGTGTCCTGAGTGCAAATTGAACTGGTGACCCTTTGGTTCACAGGCTGGCACTCAACCCACTGAGCCACACCAGTCAGGGTCAGTTTCCCCTTATATTAACAACTTACATAACCATAACCATTTACCAAAACTAAAAGGTTAACACTGGTACAACTACAGAAGTTACTCATTGTACCAGTTTTTCCACTAATATCCTTTTTCTATTCCAGGATCCCACACTATTTAGTTGTCATGGCCCCTTAGTTTCCTCTGGTTTGTGACAGTTCCTCAGACATTTCTTGTCTTTCATGACCTTGACTTCTAAAGAATATTGGTCAGTTACCTTGTAGCATATCCCTCAATTTGGGCTTGTCTGATACTTTCTCGTGATTGGATTATGGTTGTGCATTACCAACAAGGGTACTACAGGGGTGATGTGCCCTCTTAATGCATTGTATCAGAAGTACGTGATGTCAACATGTCACTGGTGATGATAACTTTGATGACATGGCTGAAGTACTGTCTGCTAGGATTCTCCAAAAATAACAATGTGCTTATTATTCTTCCTGAAAATGTAGAATTCACCAGTAGGGAAATATGTTTCACTGGAAAACATATTAGATAGGAAGTATATAAACTGTATTTGTTTAAAGGGTCTGTGAAGATAAACACCAGCAAATGCTTTGAAACTGTTATAGTAGCAAAAACAAAAAAATATATATTTTAAGGTATAAGAGAGATCTTGGTAAGATGACAAAATCCCAGTAAGACAAGGACAAGGAGAAAGCTGTGAAGATTCCAAATTCTTCTCATCATAAAAATAAAGCAATCGAAGGAGAATAAATGTCTCTGCTGCCCTAACTGGTGTGGTTCAGTGGACTAAGTGCTGGCCTGTGAACTGAAAGTTCACTCGTTTGATCCCCAGTCAGGGCACATGCCTGGATTACAAGCCAGGTCCCAAGTTTGGGGTGTGTGATCAATGTTTCTCTCCCTCTCCTTTTCCCTCACTTCCTCTCTCTCTAAAAGTAAATAAATAAAAATATTTTTTAAAAAAAGTTTCTGCTGCCCTGGCTCAGTGGATTGAGCATTAGCCTGCAAACTGAAGGGTTGCCGGTTTGATTCCCAGTCAGGACTCATGCCTGGGTTGCAGGCCAGGTCCTGGGCTGGGGTGTGAGATAGGCAACCAATGGATGTATCTCTCACACATCAATGTTTCTCTTTCTCCTTCCCTTCCCCCTCTCTGAAGGTAAATAAATGAAATCTTTAAAAATATATAAAGTTTCTGCTATGAACCAACTATGCAAGCCTCACTCCGGGGTGCTCTGGTGCAGGAATTCCATGTGCAGGCTGACATAAGTGAAACAACATACCAATGGAATGAATGGCATCAGAGATGGAATAAGGAGCAGTGAGCTTTAGGTGAGGAACTGAGATACGCAGAAGAATCTGAGTGGTTAAAAAATTGAAAAAACACAGTGATGCAGCAGTTTCAAGAGCCTTTGGGAACTTCTTACATCTGGCGCAATGTAAACAAACCAGGTACTAGTGTGTTGCCCCATCTGTCAACACTCAGCCGCAACTACATGGAAGGGGCCCGGGACTGGGAGATGGAGAACATTCTCATGGTGCCTTTGTTGGCACCATGGTTTGGGCTGGACCAGTCCCCTATGCTGCTGACAAAAAGGTCAAACCTGTCTGTTGAGGGAGAAGAGAGGATCAATCCATTATAACCTCTACCTAGCCACTCTAAGGTCCCACACTGCTTACCGCCTTCCTACCTTAGTCCAAAGCTCCAACTTAATGTCTACCCTCAGCACCTGTTCCAGGATCCATCTATCCTTCGGCTTACAAAGAAGTCCCTGCTTCTACTGCTGCAAAGGTCAGGGACAGGAAAGACATGGAGGTGTGGTCTTAGGTCCCAAATTGAAACCCTCATCACAGTTCCTCACTTAAAAAAGAATTTGTGTGTGTACTAACATATCAATTGGGATTAGGATCATTACTAGCTATGACAAGTTAAACATAACTTTATAGGCAAGTCTCAGAATAGTGTCCCTACAGGGAAACAGATTCAGATCAATAAATCTACTTTGAATGCCCATGTCCAAAACTTTTTATCATCTATAATAAAACCATTGTAAATATTACTTACATTCATTCATTTATTTATTTTATTTAGTTATTTTTCAAGTACAGTTTTTTTGTCCATTTTTCCCATCCCAGCCTCCCCCGCCCCTTGCTCCCCACCTCCCTCCCATTTCCACCCCCCTTAGTTCTCATCCCTGTGTCCTTCCTATTTGTTCCTCCAAATCCCTCCCCCTTCTTCCCCTTAACTTCCCTTCCTTCTCCCCTCTGGTCACTATCCCCTTGTTCTCTATTTCAGTGTCTTTGGTTTGTTTTTTTTTTTCTGCTTGCTTGTTTGTTTTGTTGTTTAGCTTCCTGTTAAAGGTGAGATCATATGGTATTTGTCTTTCAGCACCTGGCCTATTTCACTCAGCATAATGCTTTCCAGTTCCATCCATGTTGTTGCAAAAGGTAGTAGCTCCTTCTTTCTCTCTGCAGCATAGAATTCCATTGTGTATATGTACCACAATTTTTTGATCCATTCATTTATTGATGGGCACCTAGGTTGCTCCCAACTCTTGGCTATTGTAAATTGTGCTGCTGTGAACATTGTGGTGCATAGGTTTACTTACATTCTTTAGAAAAAAGTCTCTTTCTTTTACCCTGTCCACCTTCTGCACCTCCTCCAATTTCTTCATTTTCTTCCTCAAACTAGAAGTTAATGTATACAAAAAAATGTCAAGTAATTGCAGTGCGGTTTTTAAAGAATATTTCATTTTTTATTTTTAGAGAGAGGGAAAGAGAAGGAGAAAGAGAGGGAGAGAAAGACACATCAATGTGTGGTCACCTCTCCCGTGGCGCGCACTGGGGACCCGGCCTGCAACCCAGGCAAGTGCCCAGACTGGGACTTGAACCGCGACCCTTTGGTTCACAGCCCGCGCTCAATCCGCTGAGCTACACCAGCCAAGGCACATTTTATTTTTTTAATAATTAGCGTTTCAGCCCTGGCTGGCGTAGCTCAGTGGATTGAGCGCGAGCCTGTGAACCAGAGTATCACGGTTCGATTCCCAGTCAGGGCATATGCCTGGGTTGCAGGCCAGTTCCCGGCAGGGGACGCATGAGAGGCAACCATACATTGATATTTCTCTCCTACTCTTTCTCCTTCCCTTCCCCTCTCTCAAAAAATGAATAAATAAATAAGAATAATAACCCTAATAAAATATTTTTTAAAAAATAATAATTAGCCTTTCCCCCCACTTTCAACACTGTCATCATGCCAGAAAGTGTAAAGCAAGCAGCAAAGACCCATGAAACCCTAGCGTTTCAGTCCAACGTCCGGCTCACGCACAGATACTTCTATAATGTCCCTGTACTGTCCCGGAAGAGTTCTCATGACCATACTTTACTCTTTCAACCAATTCAGTTGGCCTATTGCTAAACAGTTTTATAAGAGTTGGTACTGAATCAAAGCAATCAAAGCTAATACTAAGTGCTGCTTACGCAGTGCTAGGAACTCTTTTTAAGTAAGCCTTAGCCCCATTTTATGACATGAAAAACCACGGACATAAGTTAAATAACTTGCTCACAGAGAACAGAAATTTTGAAACCCAGGTTCCGACTTTTGGTCCATACTTTAAGAACATAGTTTTGTGAGCAGTTAACTGTTGGTTCATAATGGGCTCTAACAAACATTAGCTTTGACCTCCGATGATTCTCCAGGCGTTACGAAGGGCATCTGGCAGATACGGACCAAAAGCAAAGGGCAAGGGGCCACCTCTCCCTTCACGTCCTGCCCCATGTATTAAAACGAGGAAGGGAAAAAGCTGCTAGCAGGACGTCAAGGCCCCGGCTGTGCCGGCTGAATTCACTATGGAAAACAGACCCGATTCCGAACTCGCCTCCGCTACTGTACCCAAGGGAGTAAAGGAAAGAGCGGGTTGAAACTGGTGGTCACTCACAGTAGCGTCCTCTTCCTCATCCGCCATCCCACCAGCAAGCTACACAACGGACCCGCGTTGCTCCAAGGGATTTTCACTACTTCCGCTGTCTCACTTCCGGTGAGCGAGGGCGCGGCCGGGGCGGGGCCTAATCCACCTGGCTTGCTGGAAGGGTGCGCGTGCGTAACGCGTAGGAGCAGAGCCAGAACACGCCCTGGGCGTTTACCGAGGAGCTCTGAAATCCTGAAGAATTAAACATTAGCGAAGGAAAGGTAGCCTGGGCGGCGTATATCACCCTAAATTTGCTTCTGCATGTGGAGTCACTACTCTCTGATTTTGGACTTCCTAGCTGTGGATGGATCGTTGTGGGACCACGTGGTCTTGGGCTGTCCCAAAGGTGTATTTAAACAATTTCAGGCCCTGGCTGGTGTGGCACAGTGGATGGAGCACCAGATTTGCGAACCAAATGGTTGCTGGTTCCATTCCCACTTAGAGCACATGCATGGGTGGCAGGCCAGGTCCCCCAGTAGGGCGCGCTTGAGAAGCAGCCACACATTGATGCTTCTCTCCCTTTTTCTCATTCCCTTCCCCTCTCTAAAAATAAATAAAATGTTTAGAAAGTTTTTTCCAACGACTTAGAGTTCCGCTGCTATTTATGCCAAGCTTTGTGTTGGTTATTGGGGATACTCTTCACTACTAGTTCTCACGGGAGCGGTTCTGCCTCTTAGACTGAGGATTTAAATTTTTGTGGGTAGTTTTTTTTTGTTAGAATGACCATTGGAGAAACCATGGGCATTAGAGTCTCAAGCTAAGGATATAAATGTTCTGCAATGCAAGAGATGATGCCACAGAAGGAAAAATTGTCCTACAGTACACTATTTTCGAAGTCCTATTAAACATTCAAGTGAGTGAAAAATCTGTTTATATTCTGAGCCTAGAACCTAACTCTTTACATATACATGTATACATCCATATTCCTGCTCCCAATTCCTGGCAAAGAGCTCCTAAAACCCTTGTAAATTCCTAATTGGATCACTAGGAGCATCTTTTGTTCTAATGAGGTGACTACTGGATGGCTCCTGGGTGGGAGTTGGTCACAGCAAGGCCAAGCCACAGAAGCTTGGAAGTTTTGGCCCCACCTGCCCATTCTCCAGAAAGGGGAGAGGGGCTGAAAATGGAGTTAATTGATTGTGCCTGCATAAGGCATAAAAATCCTAACAGAGGTTCCGAGAGCCTCCAGGTTGCAGTACACATCCACATACTGGGAGGGAGGGGGCCCTACCCCAACTCCACAAGCACAGAGCTCTGCACTCAGGACCCTCTGAAACCTCATCTAAAGCATCTTTTCCCCTGGCTGTTCATCTATATCCTTGATCATATCCTTTAATAGACTGGTAAACAGAAGTGTCTTCCTGAGTTCTGTGAGCCATTCTAACAAATAATAGAATACAAGGGAGAGAAGGTCACGGGAACTTCCAATTTGCCACCAAGATGAAAAGAAGTTGTGGCCATCCTGGGGACCTCCTACTGCAATTGGCATTTAAGTGGGGTCAGTCCCAGGGGACTGGGCACTTAACTTGCAGGATCTGACACTATCTCCAGGTAGTCAGAACCGAGTTAAATGGTAGGACACCCAGCCAGTGTTGCAGAATTGCTTGGTGTGGGAGAAAATAATTCCCACACATTTGTGAACAGAAATGTCCCAAGTGAAGTGTTCTCTATGAGAGTAAAGGAGAAAGACACACGGGAAGGAAAGAACTGGGAGCTTTCCCCAAAATAGCAACTACCCTGAAATTGGACAGATGTTATTCTTTGTTTTATTTGGAACTTATGAAGAGTGTGAACAATTTCAGGAAATAATGTCACCAAGGCCACATCACTTGTAATAATTTCACTGGCCAACACTCACTGGAACCAATCTGCATTTGAAGCTCCTGCATTCAAAGTGGTTCTATACATGTGGCGAGCATCTGAGATCTTTATGCCCTCTAGTCCATTTTGAAACACGTGTAATTATAATTTACTGTCTTTATTTTACTTTTATGTTACCATTAGGGGTACTATATATTGTTTTTAAATTACATGGGTAGTTAAGTGTATTAGTTATTTATTGCTGTGTTGACAAATTATCCCAAAACTTAGTGGCAAATGCAATATACATTTATCATACCGATTCTGTGGGTCAGGGTTCTGGGTGCAGTTTAGCTGGGTGCCTCTGGCTGAAGGTCCCTTATTGCGCACTCAGGATGCTGGCTGGGGCTGCGGTCCCCTATGAAGTACTGCAGGGGAAGGACCCACTTCCCAAACTGCTCACGTGGTTGTCAGCAGAACTCAGTTCCCTCAGGGTGTTAGACCAACGGCCCCAGCCCTTCCCTGGCTGTTGCCAGAGGCATCCCTCAGTTACCTGCCACACAGTTCTCTCCATGGGGTGGTTGACAACATGCAGCTGGCTTCTCTCAGAGCAGGTGAGAGAGAGAACCAGGGAGAACACCCAAGTAGAAGCCAGGGTTTTTCTTGTAACCTCACCTTGGAAGTGACACCCTATCACTTACAGTCACTAGACGTCAGTAAACGGAGCCCACACTCAAGGGGTGGGTGTTAACACAGGATGAGAACACCAGGAGGCAGGCAGCGTTGAGGGCGGAGAGGCTGCCCACGACAAGACAATGGGTTATAGCGTCTGTGAATTTCATTGCAGAATAACAAAGGACACATTATAATGTATTTGTCACTTGAGGCAGATTATCAAGTCTGGCAGGGTTGAGAACTGCTGTGTCAGGCAGTGATGAAATGCTGGCCTTGTGCAGGGGAATCAGGTAGAGAGTCCACAAGGTCTGCTATCATGGAGGTGGACAGGTAAAACATGCTGGATATACACCGAGGAGTACCATGCAACAATCAGAAATGATCCACTAGCAGTCTATGGCCACAGCCCCCAAAAGCACCTGATCTTGTCTGATGTCAGAAGCTAAGCAGGGCTGGGCCTGGTTGGTATTTGGATGGGAGAAGCAATCCGCCAGCAATTTGGGTGGAGCTTAGAAACAGACCTAAAATTGAAAAGTAAGAAACACAATGGAATCTATAACACAATACCATTTATGTAAACTATACACACACACACACAAAAATACATATTTTAGAGTGACATAAAAAGCGTAACATTTAAATACACTAGAAAGGTGGTGGGGTAAGAGCAATGGGAGGAGGGACAAAGGCGAAGCACAGACACAAATAACACATGGAGGACTTTGGAAGTGCCAGCTATCATAGTATGTCACAGTGTAACTGGAGTGTGAGTAGTTCCATCTTCTGAACTGAAGATGCAAGACGCAAAGGGGGAAAAATCGCAGTGTTATAAGCAGAGCAGGAAAAAAGTGCAGAGAGTGAAAAGTCACGGGTGCTTCCACAAGGCGTTTTGTGTGGACTGCCAGAGCCAAGTGCGTTGGGGTGGGGGGGAGGTGCAGGAGTGAGTTTGCTGTGAAGCTGCAGTGAGAGCGTGAAAGGCCTTGTCTGTTCTCTTCCAGCTGCCAAAGTTCCCGGTGGTCTTTGGGCAGAAGAGTCACACGCCCCTACCTTTTGAAAAAGCTCACTTTCACCGGCAGATGACTGACTGATGGAGGATGAGAGGCTATCAGAACCTGAATGAAGAGGAAGAAGGAATTTAGGAAGAGAATTGACAGGACTTTGTGTCTGAATGAATCTAAGGCAGAGAGGTGTTCACATGCAGAGTGATGCTGTGACTAACATTAATTGGAATGTAAAAGGAAAAGGCAATTGGGGAGAGGAGAAAATGAATTCAGTCTGAGTTTGAGAGTCTAGAGGTGTCCTAAAGACAGACGGACGTGCAGGTCTGGAAACCCACGGAGAAATGGGAACTGGGGAAAATGGCGTGGAAGACCTGAACACTGGAACAAAGGCAAGCGAGAAGGGAGGCAAAGGGCAGATCCTTAGAAAAGGAAAATCAAGAGAAAGAAAAGACTGAAGGAATGGCTCAAGAGATGAAAGATAAAAAAGATGAAGAGTAGGAAGAGAGGGAGAGGAGAGGAATATATTTTGAAAGCCAAAAAAAAAAAAAATTCAAGAAGCAGCGGGTGGTCTGGCGAGCTCAATGCTAAAGAGATTAAGTAAGGTATTGGAGAAAGGCGTGGGTTTTGACAGTAGGAGGCGGCAGAATAATCGGACACACTGGTTTGAGGGCAATGGTGAAAATAAAAGCCAGATCAAATGAGACTAAGGACAGTGGAGAGTAGAAAGCAAAAAGCCCTATCCAGGGTGGCTCCATTGGTTGGGCACTGTCCCACAAAGTCAAAGGTCACTGGTTCGATCCCTGGTCAGGGCACGTGCCTGGGTTGTGGGTTTGGCCCTCATCGGGGTGCATGCAAGAGGCAAACGATGAATATTTCCCTCTTTCTCCCTCCCTTCCCTTCTCTCTAAAAGTAAATTTTAAAAAATAATTTAAATAAAAGAAAGAAAAGCAAAGAGAGAAGAGTAGACTTAGAGGGCAGTAGGCTCCAGGAAAGTAGACTCTGAATAAATGATAGCAAAAAAAGGAGGGTGAGCTTTTAAAGAGATTTGTTCACAGAGAAGCAGACAGGGGTGGCTGAGTTACCTGAGAATAACTTGCAAGGAATAGTAGGGGTGGGGCTCTCAGAACAGAGGAACACAGGAGGCTGGGTGGGGGGCTTGAGGCATGATGGATGAGGGCAAGCAGGCAGTACCAGCCAGACCCCAAACTTAGGCAGACACTGTGCAGTCCCACCCTCGCCCTGACCACTCTTCACTCTCACTCCCTCCACGCCCCCCCCCCCCGTCTGCATTTGGGGCTTAGTGCAGTGGCGTCATTTCCACAATAATCTTACACAATCTTAATGAACCCTGCTTGTTTACCAAATCATGCCCCTACTCTGGTTAAACAGGCCAGCTCTGGGGTCAGATGAGTTGGGTTTGAAATCTGCTGAGCTCCTTTGAGACCAATGACTCGACCTCTCCATGGATCTATTTCCTCATTTGTGAGATGGGGAAAATAGTAGTTACTGACCTTATAAGGTTATTAGGAGGCTTAGATGTGTTCTTACCCACAAGGGGCTCAGGGTAGTAACTGGAATGTATCGAAATTCCCATAAGTGTCCTATGTTTTTATTCAAGAACCTACCTTTCAGCATAACCTGCTGTTCTCCTTTGTGAACTCCACATTCTAGTTTCACAAGGCCACGATCCATTATTCACGAAACGAGTATTTATCAACCACCTGTTCAGCACTTGCTATGGGACTGTGGATAAAATGGCAGACTATGTGAATACACAGTCCTGGGCTTATGGGCTTCCCAATGCAGCAGGTCAGGGGGGCATGAATGAAGTAGATGATGAATGCTCTGACCCTGCTGGTGTGGCTCAGTGGGTTGAGCACCAGCCTGGGAACCGAAAGGTCATCCGTTTGATTCCTGCTGAGGTCACTACCGATGGGTGACATTAGTGTTTCTCTCCCTCCCCCTCTCTATAAAAAATAAACAAACAAAATATTTTTTAAAAGTGTTTAGATAATGTATGCTCTGGAAGTTTATGACGGGATAGGAGGCCCACGGGCAGAGGAATCTTCCTGCAGCAAGTGAGGTCTGAGCTCCAGGGAAGTTCCTCTGAGACCTAAGCTGGTGAAGGAGGGAAGGGGGAGTGCGCAGTGCTACCACGTACTTTCCCATTTCCATGCCTCTGAGCTTTTACTCCTCTCCTTCAAGCTCAGACGCCTGCTCCTCCCTCGAGCCTTCCCTGAGCCCTCTTCTCTCTGCTCACTCCCACAGCACTGTTTTCATTTTCCTGCAACACTTCTCACTTTCGACTGCATTTTCTGGTGATTTACATGCCCAGCTTACCTTGTCCACTAAATCTTAAACTTATTAGGAACAGAGCATGTCTCTTTCGTCTCTGAGCTCCCAAAGGCTGGCGCATTCCTTACACGTAGAAGACCTGGAACAAATATTTGCAGCATAAATTAATGCCTGTTTGACAGCCCTTTTCAAATATGTTGTCATTGAGATGAAGCTATTGTTGCAAGCTGTGCCTTTGGGACTGATTTTATTCTTTGGTTAAACCAGAATGCCATCGTCATGGTCCCCAGGACTGAGTAGTGTTTGCCACAGGGACTGAAACAGCCCCAACAAAGGGGCCACTGTTCTTGAGCGACAGGCATTTGGCAACAACTGCCCGTCCTTCCATGGAGACTGAAGTGAACTGAGGAAGAACTGTCTGAGTTGAGTCCCCAGCCAGTGGGGCTCTATTGCAATTGGGTGGCAAGAGCTAGCTAGTGACCCTGACGTGAGGCTCTGGGGCTTGGCAGGGCGACAGAAATGCAAATGCTTGAAACAAAATCATCAAAGATCACTAAAAGAACAGCATCCTAATTTGAAGCAATGTGATAACAGACGGAGGGAGCTTTGAAGTCTGAGCTAGGTTTGAAGCTAGGTTATCTCACCCATGTGCCTTCTCTGAACCTCAGATTTCTTCTTGAAAAGATATTGTGCAAATATCTTTTGGTGGTGAAGATCCAAAGTAATGTCTTTACACACACAGTGCCTGTACTCTGCTAAATTGTGTTTACACACATACCTTATTGTCCCCAATAAAGTTTGTTCTCTAAGAGCAGAAACTCATCTTTACCTGCAAATCTAGCAAAGTGAGACCAGGATGCAGCAGACACTAGTAAATATTTTTTTAAATACATGAACAACAACAACAGTAACAGCTAACATTTATGGGGCACTTATTTCATGTCAGGTGTTGTAAATGGTAATTCACTTAACCCTTCAACAACCCTAAAAAGAAGCAGCCATTATAACCAATTTTACAAAGAGTAACAGAATACTATAATTTTTTAAAATATAGAATTGTTGGTATAACTGATTTTGAAAAAAATCTGGTGAGATTTACTTATTTACTTATTTCAAATAAGTATACAACTTTATAAAATCTGGAAAAGAAAAAATATGGTAGGGGAAAAATAAGGAAAAAACAAATATGGATGAGTGAGAAGAAAGAGTAGGAAGGAGAGGAAAGATAGACACATGAAAAAACAAAGAGAAAAGGGTAAATTCTGAGCAGAGTGAAAAATACTTGCTTATTCAAAATAAGGTGTTGGGTCTTTCTCTGTACTTGAAAGCATCATTAGACAACTGATCACTCTGCATGTGTATGTGTGGGCATATGCCTGGCCTTCTCAGGTTTTGTCCCATATATCTTCATTCTTTATTTGTTTGTTTTTTATTCTACGTTTATGTGTATTATCTCAAGGAGTCTGTCCTGCATCAGCTTTTTTGTTTTGCCTCCAGGGGGCTTTGCTGGCCTTTCTTTTGCGTGACAAAGAGGGCCGCAGCCAGCAGATGGCACTGTGGCAAGAGCGGCAGAGTCCCTCCAGGAGGGTCACAACCACTGCAGATAGTTAACCTTACAACTTCATCTTCGGAGGACTCGGAGTTGCTCTCTCGCCTGGAGTCTAATAAAGCAGGCCGAGTTGTGCGCAATTAAGGATTTCAATTCACAAGACGAAATCTGAGACTTTGTCTCCACCCTCTCCACTCCCGACCCCCATGAAAAACTGACGATATCTCTTGTCAGCTCGTGAAAGTGTTGTGTGAAGCGCTGTCAGATACCTCCAATGTCTGGTGCAAGAAGCCGAGGTGATCACAGCATTAATTAGATATAGGAGATAATCGACACTCTCCTGAAAGTTTAAGGAAAAATCCATACAAACAAACAGGCAATCATTTGAATGTTTCTCGACAACGTGAAGCTTTAGGATCTGAAATATGAGACTTGTTTTTGTTATAATTCCCTTATTTCATTTCGAAAGTTCAGACGCAGGCTGGCTACTCAGATTTCCTTAAGGAGTAAGGAAGAACCGCGTGGCAAGGGCAGTCCTGGAGGTCACAAGGGGCCCCTCGTCACCCCTCGCGTGAGGGTTCTTACGTGGGAGCCCAGGAAGGACCAAGACCTCTCCGTTGCAGGAGGGCTACAGACATACAAACGCCCAAGGCAGCCGCCACAGCACACAATACAGTGCAAACCTGCAAATCCTCACCTTGCCAGCCACAACAACGTGAACGTGTCAAGTGGGGCCCCGCACTAATTCCGCACAGGCAAGCAATAGAGATTTGGTTACCATGGACACGCAGGACGCCTGCCGGACTGCGCGCTCCTTACTTAAACGTCAACACCCAAACCCACCCACGCAGGTCCTCCTAGCTCGGCAATCTGCTAGCCACTCCTGATTGCGTTAGGCGCTTGCGTCTTTGTCTTTGCGCCTGCGCACTACGGCTCCTACTAGTCGCTGCGGCCGGGATCGGGAAGTGTCCAGCGTGAGCTGGGTTCCCCCCGCCTTCGGCTGCCACCGCTGATCCCGGACCCCTAGCCTGGCCCGGGCCCAGCCGCCATGACGAACGGTGAGAGCCAATGCTCAGAGCGGAGGATGGGAGGGAAGGACGATGGGAAACGTGGCGGGCGGGGCCGGGACTGACGTGGCAGGTCTCCCCGCCCCCTCCCCCGCTCAGCCCCTCTTAGCCTCTCGGGGTGCCCCCGACTCCTGTTCTCTAGACCTCTCCTGGGTCCTCGGGTGCCCTGCCCGTCTAGAACCCCAGTGCCTCTGGTGACCACCCCGCGTCCTCGGTCCCTGCTCTGTGCTTTCTCTTCTCCCCTTCCTAGAAGCTCGTTGTGGCCCTTACAGTCCCCTTGGAATGGCCAGTCTGGGTTGAACCACAGCTTTAACACTAGGGAAAAGAGAGGGCCTGCTTCCCAGCCCCCTACGTTTTCATACTTTCCGACAGTAGGATCAAGAAATTACAAAGGACCTCAAGCTTCACACTTTCGAGGGGTGACTGTGCGAGCCTGAAATGGTCTTTTGGAGCAATGCTGGACAGCTTTCTGTTGTTCGATTCTAAAGATGTGTTTGGGTGATTCTCTCTGGAGACCCTGGCTAGTACCCCTTCTAATTGAAGTGGCAGTTGCCAGCCTGTTCACCCGACCTCATTTTCTCGGCCTCTTCAAACACTTTACAGAGGTGATTTCCGAATTCCAGGGAAGAGTGGGAAGCAGGGCTTTTCATGGTCTTTGGCGTCAGCCTTATGGGAAAGAACAGAAAGCCTTTGGGCAGTGTGATTGGAGGAACACCAAAAAGCATTTCTCAAAAGAACCTTCTCCATAGCCTGGCACCGAAGATTCAAATTTCCCTTCCTTGTGCAAAAAGTTATGGTAGGAAAAGACTAGCACATAAGATATCATTTATCATAAAACTTAGTGTTATGTAGCCCTGGCCAGGTAGCCCAATTGCTTAGAGTGTGGTCCCCATATGCTAAGGTTATGGGTTCAGTCCTGGGTCAGGGCACATACAAGAATGAACCAATGAATGCATAAGTAAGCGGAACAACAAATCAGTGCGTTCTCTCTCTCAAATCAATAAGGATAATGTATTAATTTACTGAATCTTTCGTGACACCTCCCTGTGAGAGTTTTGCTGGAGGAAGAGAGGGAGGTAGAGTAGTCCAGCACTGGCAGATGCTGTTTGTGTAACTTATCTTTTGGGAGCTTCCTGGGTCGCCAGAGATCTGAGGTTACTAGGAACAGGAGAAGGGACATCACCCACAAGAAGAAATCATCTGCACCGGAAAATAAGAGAGCAGTCTGAGACATAAAAACTACTGAATAAACTTTACTCACTTTCCCTCTTTTTGTGAATGGATACCTTCTTTTTCTTTTTTGCAGTTAGGCGATTTGTAGTGCTTATATGTAAAGACGTAGCTCAGTTTACATATGTAAGAAATAGAATTGTTCAAGCCCTGGCTGGTGTAGCTCAGTGGATTGAGCGTGGGCCTGCGAACAAGACAGTCGCGGTTCGAATCCCAGTCAGGGCACATGCCTGGGTTGCAGGCCGGTTCCCAGCAGGGGACGCACGAAAGGCAACCATACATTGATGTTTCTCTCCCTCTCTCCTTCCCTTCCCCTCTAAAGATAAATAAATTAAAAATCTTAAAAAAAAAATAGAATTGTTCAAAGTGTTTTCCCCCACAAAATTGTTCCACTATGTTGAAATGTTGATTGCCTTCCTGGCAGAATTTGGTTTGTAAGTAGGGTATCACGCGTGAAGTGTAAGATAAGTCTAGGAAAATTGTACACATGGATTCTAACTCCTGCAATCTCTATGAAACTCCACGTTTTGTCTTAACATTTTCTTCAACAGATGCAGATCTTTGAGACTTGCTTAAATATCTAGCTCTCCTTTATCACACGAATTAATGATTTATAATAAGAGTATGTTCAATTCTCTCAGCTGAGGCTCCAAGGATTCTTTGGACTCTCGCGAGACCTCTTGCCAACGCTGGCCATTCCTGGTGGGGGCGATTGCACGTAAAGTGATGCACTTTTCAAAGATGTGTAGTTCTTGAAAGGAGAGAGGAGAGAAGGGCAGGGCAGAGTGAAATTGTAAGGGGGATGGCTACGAGCAATTCTGGGGAATGGTAAGGTCACCTTGCTAGTCCCAGGATGGTGGCTTCCTCAAGTCAAGGGTTGGCACTGTTTTTGAGGTTATCGTCTTGATAATATGTCACACTCTGCTCCTTGGAGTTCTCCAGGGAATCACCTGTGCCAAAAGGATTAGCACCAAAGGTGTTCTTTTCATCCTGTAACAGTGTACTCCTTGGATGGGATTCTGGTGTTTGGGTTGCTCTTTATTTGCACCTGTGCCTACTTCAAGAAAGTTCCTCGTCTCAAAACCTGGCTGCTATCGGAGAAGAAGGGAGTCTGGGGTGTGTTTTACAAAGGTAAGATCGTATCTGCCCAGGGGAGAGGAGGAGAGCACTGTCTCTGGACAGCGAGGTGTGCTACCAGGTGGGGGGGTGAAATGGGCTGGGATTGTGTTTGGTTCCACTTTTACCTATTTGTTTAACATCAAGGTAATATTAATATTCTCCATGGAGGAAAAAAATGTGTAAATTAAACAATTTTAGACTGGACTGGTATTGTTAGGAGGAATATCTTCCCAATGAAAAGTTTTCTGAAAATCTGGAAAGAATATATTGGAGTCTATTAAGTTTTGATTTATTAACTGAAATGCTCTTTTATTTTTTATTTTGGGCACCTTCATTTGGAATCCTAACTATCTAAATCTGTTTGCAAAATAGGGCAAAATATAAACAAAAGGTATATATTTTTAAAAAGATTTTATTTATCTACTTTTAGAGAGAGGAAGGGAGGGAGAAAGAAAGGGAGTACTCTCTCTCTCACATCAGTGTGTGAGAGAAACATCCATCCATTGCCTCTCACATGCCCCCATCTGGGGACCTGGCCTGCAACCCAGCCATGTGCCCTGACTGGGAATCGAACTGGAGACCTTTCAGTTTGCAGGCCAGCACCCAATTCACTGAGCCACATCAGTCGGGGCATAAACAAAAGGTATATCACCTAGAACCTAGGGCAATATTTATTTCAGTACATTCCCAAGTGGGTTCTTGAGACCCTTTGTAGGTCTCATCATCTGTGACTAGAGATTTCAAAATATCCCATGGAAAGTGAGGGCTTATATGAAGGGCAGGCTGTGATTCCTTTTCCCTGTTTTCCTTTGCCTTCCAGCTGCTGTGATTGGAACCAGGCTGCACGCTGCTGTGGCAGTCACCTGCATCATCATGGCCTTTTATGTCCTGTTTATAAAATGAATTCCAGAGCATCCATCTCATCAACTGCCAACCAAGGGGACGAGGGTGAAGACCTTGTTGGGGGCCTGGGACCAGCATAGGAGCGTTCAGCTGAAATCATCCAAGTCTCCAGGATGACATCACAGCATCTGCCCCTCCCATGTGTGGGGAAAACTCATAATGATAAACATTATTTATGCTTCAGGGGACTCCAGAAAGCCAACTCCTCAAATCAGTCCTTGAAGACAGCGTATAATATCCAGATAAATTACACCCCTCGGTGATAACATTGCATACCTCCTGCTTAAAAACCTGTCATCTGTTTTGTTCCTCGGTCCTCGCCAGGATCTTTTCATACTGAAGATCTTTAGGGAAGGACATAAGCTGTGTTCAGGTCTCCTGGAAAGAAAGAATTTTCAGTACTTGACTTTTTTTTCCCCGTTGTTTTGATTTGGATTTGGCAGATTGGAAGAAGTGAGTGGGAAACAGGAGTCGTCCACTGCCCAGAAATATTTTGGCTTTGGAGACTTATCTTTCATATACTGATCTGGCAACGTAAGAGAGTGGCACAGTCCTCGCTGCAAAAAGAGAACAGATGAAATCACTGTACCGTGTGCTGGAAGTGGGAGAGTTTGGCCAAGATGCTCTGGGCCAGCATGGGATTTGGGAGCTTTCTGTCTGATGAAATCGGAGGGTGGTAACTCGGACACGAACAAAGGTTCTGTTCACCAGTACCCCCAAAAGGAGACATCACCCCAGCCAACCGTGTAAGAAGATAAATCCACTGCTTCTCTTTTCCCAAGCCTTTTTATATTTTCTCAACTACTGAGTGCTAAATACTCAGTTTTAAATGCCACCACTAAGGGGAAGAGAAACAATTGAATTGTTTAATGTATTTGCAGCTAGAGTAGAAGAAATAAATCTGGTATATATTCAGATACTAGTAAAGTCATTTAGTAGAAATTGTGATGTTAGATGGGAGTTTTGTCATGTTATACACAATACAAACCTACTCTATTTAAATCTGAGTTATCATGGCCATTTTTAGTTGATTCCTACTTGTTTTTCTTGGCCAACTCTTAATTTTCTTCATATTACAATCCTCTTTAGCTGTCCTTTGTAAATTCTGTGTTCCAAGAAAATGAGAAATTCAAGTGAGTGAGAGAAGTTGCTAATATTCACGGGCATATTTGGATAGTTCATAGACTCCATGAATAAAATGAGGGTGCTTTTTAAAGGAAAGGAAAACAAAGACTTGTAACTGGATTGATGACTTTTCCACAGAGTATGGCAACTCCTGAGCAAAACATTGCAGATGACTCAATATTTGAAGGGGAGACTTCTACATTCCCTCCTCCTTTTATCAGCGAAATGATCAACTATTACATTGTTAAAGGCTAGAACTTATTTTAAAAAGTGGGTCTAAAGTTATTGTAAAAAGCAAGCATGTGCATAGGTCTACCAGTTGCCTCATCCATTGGACTGAAACTTGACTGTGGACAAGTTAGCTGTGCTTCACTCTGCGAGGCAGCAGATTGCGTTTCGTCTTACTCCGAGAGGACAAAAGCTGGTAGGAAGTTAGGTTCTGAAACACACAGTTTAGTCTTCGCAGGTTTTTTGAAGTACAGAACTTCATCACGTAAACACTACATGTCTCATCATCTCAGAGTTGTGGCTGTGGTCTCATCAGGAATTGATTCACAGGGTAACTTTCAATGCTTCATAGGTTTTCCGTGGTCATTTCTGAGGACCTTTCACACCAGACAAAGAAAACAGGAAAGAAGTTACACCTCCTGGGTGTGAGTTTGGGACCTGTTGGCCAATGGGGTGTCTCCCCAGAAACAGGTTCAGCAGGGTTTGCACTTGTTACTGTGTAGCTTTAGTGACTTTTGTTTCTAATAGGGCTAATGTCTCTAAGCTTGGTGCTTAGAGCTCTTTCATATTTTAAACTAGTTTCATTTCACAGTTTGGTTATTCAAACCATTTTTTGCAGCTTCCTGAGTAGGTCACCTTGACTCTTGAATTGTAATATTTTGAGATGTTTTCATTCCAGAACATACCAAAAAGTGCACAGAGCGAAGGGAATTTACAGCAAAAACAAAACAAAAAAATACACAGCTTATTTCACTTTATATAAGCAGATCAGCAGAAACCTGTTTAACTCATTACTTTGCTTGATGTGTCATATTTTTTGACTGAAAATTGTAGAAAGTGTTTCTTTAAGAGAGGCTTAGGAGTGGAAGAATGGGGACAGCCATGTCAGCCGTGATTCAAACTGGCATCGCCATACACCCTGAATGCCCCGGTGGGGAATGAAGTCAGCTTTTTATAGTTGAAATACAATTTTTTATTCACCATTGTCTGCATAAATCCTTGAAAATAAAATTTCTTTCCCAACTGCTTTTGTCCACTTTATTTGTCACATGCTGTGTATTTTGAACTTTGTTCAATCGTCCCCTGGTTTCTTCCCATAGTATACCTTTTTAATTTAAATTAATTATTCCCATCATTCCTGTAAACACCTTCACAGGAATGCATAATACACACAGTCCAGAATCTGAGAGCAGCTTTCTCCTTTGGGGGGAGGTGACCTATGTACCAGCTCATACCGCATATATCGGCATATATGTGAATAAATTTTGAGGTGTATCAAGATAGATGATATTCCTGAATACATTTTACCTACCTCGATTAAAATACAAGTTACCATCTGCCCTTAACTAGCCATTAACTTCCTTCAGGTGCTATCAGGTTAACCAGTCACACCTACAAAACCTTTGAGCTACGGGGTTCTGACACATTGGGTACCTTCCTCTGTGTGTTTACTCCAAGTGCATGGTGAAACCAACAGAAGTACAAATTGTAACTTCGCAAACTATTTTCTAGTTTCCAAAAGTCTTCTGATTTGTCTTCCCCCCCCGCATACACCTATTTCATTGAAAAAGGAGAAGAAACAGACATTAAAATGGTGCTCTCTGGTTGTAAAAGGAGCTAATTCTATTTATATAACGACCTGTGTTTTTCCCTTCACTTACTCTGGGAGGTTGAGAGGCTGACAGGTTTTAATGGATACGCAAGTAGATGAAGGGTGAGCAGTACGCTTGCCACAGCATCAAATTCTGGGAAGCAAAAGGGCTCTGCCTTCCTAAGGGCGCTGTACTCCTTTCACAGGTGCCCTGACTAATCTAGTCTCACCTTTGCCTTTGGTAAAATCGTACTGCCTCCTGCCTTGGGAGAAGGAACTCCTGGGGAAGGTAATGTTGGTAAACACCAGGATTTATTTGCGTTGTCCATGGGAAAGGAGTCAATCACCTATTATAGAAATCGAGTCAACTTATATCCAGAATTCGGATCAAAGGTCAAAGAAAAATTATAGATAGGGGTATAAATACGTAGCTGCATAAAGATCAAAAGACCACCACGATTCCGTACAGTGGGAATTTGTTCCGCCAGCTCCTACGACACGGCTTCCCCTCCGAGCCACGCGAGGGCAGCAAAGCGCGTGCTCGAGGAGGGCCGGTGCTCACCGTTTCCTCCCAGAATCCTCCGAGGCAGGGGGAAGGGCGGAGGAGTTTAAAAGAGCGTGCGGACTTCCGCTCCTCCCGGAGGAAGGGCGGCCTGGGGCTGTGTGGCTGTGTGCAGTGACAGGGTACCGCATGGGTGGATGTGCGAACCGAGTGTGTGAGTGGACGCGTGAATGTGATCGTGCCTGGGTGTGCAAGGCGAGTGCGTGGCCCCTGCGCTCCTCCCCCCGCCTACACATTGATCTTATTTGATCGGGTTGTGACCCCAGCCGCTCCGGGCGGACCCGAAATGAAAAGCTTCCCTCCTGCGAAGCCCCCTCCTCGGGGCGCTGTGCAGCGAGGCCCCTTGGGTGGCGGCACCGCCGCGGCCCCGGACTCGGTCCTACGGGGGCCCGGCGCTCAGAAGTGATGAATTGATCAGATAGACGAGGCCGGGCTTGTCCCGGGCCGCTGATTATCGAGGCGATTCTGATCTGAGCCCGACCCCAGGATGCGGCCGCCAGTGGTGTGCGGCTAAAGCGTTAGCGGTCGGCGGCGGGCCGGGGCGCAGACTGGCGAGGGCCGAGGGTGATTGAACCCGTAGGCCCTCGGGAGCGAAGCTGGGAGGGGACCGAGGCTTTGTTCTTCTCTAGCTCCCCTCCTCCCTTTTTTTCATTAGGCCTGCCTTGTCATGATGAGCGTGGCACCAATACCGGTGCACCCGGCCTTCCAGCACTACACAGCGTCTGCTGCTAAGGGGTATCGGAGTATATATGCATGTCTCTATGCATATGTATGCATATATGCGTATGTGGTTGTGTGTACACACACACTTGGAGAACTTATAAAAATTCAGAGTCCAGGGACCCAGCCCAGATTTCCTGAATTAGAATTATCAGGGAAGTCTAGGAACCTGTATCTTTAACTGCCTCTATGCCTGGGTCACAGCCATCACTTGATGTTCAGTTATCGCCCTGCATGAGGTGACCAGCCAGAGAGACCTCTCTCTGCCATTTCCAGCCTTTCTGAGTACTAAAAACTGAAATGTCCTGTTGTCACTTGGCAGCAAATATGTCATCTGAATAGTGGATGAGAGGCTGGGATTGGTGGTATTTAAGGACCCTGTACCCGAGTACCAGGAAGAAGCCTTTTCCTATCTTACACCCAATCTAACAACAGTTTGCAGTGACTAAGAATCAGGGGCAGATACCAGTACAAACAGACCCAAAGAAAAGGGAATTAACTCCCAGCAAGAAGACAGTAGCAGTTAGGACAACAGCAAGGAGCCAGGACCCCAGGGATGGAGCCCCCAGTGGAAGAGCAGAGTCCAGCAGATGGCAAATGCAGGAAGTGGGACATCTGTTAAGTCTGACATCATCATAAATATTAATGCTACCTAGGGCTACTAAAATCACAGTGATTATAAGCTAAGAGGATGAACTATGTCCATTGTTTCTCCAACACTTAGTTCCAACACCAAGGTTTCCAATTAATATTGAACGGGTGTATCTAGACAGCTGGAATGACCAGTTTACAGAATACCAATGCCTGCCACCTGACCCAAACTGTGGTTCTGCCCTAAATCCTTGCAAATATGCTCAACTAGTTTCTAGAAGTTGTGAAACTTCCCTTTTTTTTTTTTTTTTTTTTTTTTTTAGAGAAAGAAACATCAGTTTGTTGTTCCACTTATTTATGGCTTCGCTGGTTGATTCTTGTATGTGCCCTGATGGGGGATCCAACCCACAACCTTGGAGTATCGGGGCGACACTCTAACCAACTGAACTGCCCAGCCAGGGCCCCTTCCATCTTCGAAGAGGAGTCTAGTGGCAACTTGTAGCCTATGGGTAACAGACACTTCAGGCTTCATCTTGCACAAGAATTTTTAATGCAGGTGGGCAGCAGGATGTTCCACTCTGATTAATTAGTCCGGGGCCTGTCAACATTAGGTGGAGAAGAAGCCACCATCATTCTTTCGGGAGTAGCCTCCATTGGTGGCTGCAGTGTGAGGAGACACTGTGGGGAAGAGGAAGAGTGGGCTGTGACTAGATGCCTTCCCTTCATGGGGAACCTGGAATCGCCCACACCTTCACAGGTACTAGAGAGAAGGTTCCCGCACCAGCTGGGGAGGGGTACACAGAGCCCCACACATTCAGGAGGAAGCTATAGGTCTTCCACTCCCTGGTGTCTGCCTTTGTCGGCAGTTTTTGGCCCCGAGACCACAGGCCAAGCTACAGGCTCTGAACAATTGAATTCATTCCATAGCATGCCCCCTGGCAGGAGTCTGATATGTGCCAACCTAATCACTGCCCCCCCCCCAATGTTCCCTCCTAGCCAATCGCCCCCTTTCCCAGACTGCTGGGTCCACTTAGGGAAACCTGCACCACCCATCTGCCCTTCTGACACTTACCTATGGACCCCTGGATGCTGTGGATGGAGTTCTTCTTAGGGTTGATCCAGTGTCTGATGTTGGCTCGGGAAGTGATGGGGGGTGGTGACGGAGGGGGTAAAACTTCTCCAGGGAACTGGAGCTTGATGCCTCTAACAGTGGTGTGGGGCGGAATGGGGGAGAATGAAGCCAAGGGGGAGAAAGGCGAGGAGAGGAAGAGTTGTGTGCAACCTCAAAAATACAGTAGCGGAGGGCGCTTTCTACCCTCCGTGACACTGACCAAAGATTTTGTTCATACAGACAAACCCAATCTTGGAGATGCTCTGGTCATTGTAGATGATAAAAATGCGGAAATCATTTACAGGCACGGATGTAATCCACCCACAAACCTGTACATAGAGAGCACCTGCTGGTTGTTATTTCCCAGGTGGCGCTTCGCCCTGTGTAACTGGTGGGGCTACAGTTAGGGTGCAGAGGCTCTGCCTCTACCTCTTACCCCTGCGTGTCCTGAATGGTCTCCTGGTGAATCAGGACCTCGCTTTTGTCCTTGAACGCCCCCGTGTGGTGGTTGTACAAGGCTGCTAGACGGAAATCCAGGTCGTCCTTCGGTACCTAGAGAAAGTCAAGCCCTCCAGGGTTAACGTACCTCCTCTGCCCCAGCTCTAGTCAAGTTCTGTTGGGTTATACTCTTCCCCAAAAGTGGAGTGAGCCCCTTTTGAGCCTGGATCCACTAACTCCTTATAAGTCAAATTGTACACAGTGATTCTTGTCAATATGGAGTTCTGTTTTTTTAAAAATATCATTTATTGATTTTAGAGAGAGAGGGAGAGAAACATCCATTGGTTACTTCCCATACACGCCCTGACTGAAGAGCTAACTCCCAACCTAAGTATGTGCCCTGACCTGGAATCGAACTCCCAACCTCTTGGTGAAGGGAGGATGCTCTAACCAACTGAGCCATACTGGCAAAGGCTAGAGTAGCCCCTCATGGTTAGGTCTAAGGAGTAGTGAGCTCTCCCTGTAGATATGGGAACCACCACACTGTCCCCAACTTGGGCTCAGTGGGCCTTATCATTCACGGTTATATTCAGCCTTTGTTTTAGTCAGAAGAGTGAGAAGTCTGCTGATAAAGTGATCTGCTCCAGAAAACTGGAGCAGAACCAAGCCTCCTGACTTCCCACAGACCAGATAAACTGGCATTTGGTTTTAGATTTGGTAGGACCTTAGGTTGGGCAAAATCAGGAAAGATACTAAGGCAGTTAGCAACAGACTACCTTTCAAAGAGAAATGGCATTTCAATATGAGGTACCTCGGAGTCAAAAAAATATGCACTCCGCCTCATGGAGGTGACCGTTTGGGTTGCGTTGAGCCGATTCCAGGGCTCCTGCTGCTGAGCAAGGTGAGGCGGGTTCTTACACGGCAGTTGCTGCAAAAGAAAAACCACACGAGGACCTGGCTACCCGATGACAGGTCCTCGCCGACGTGGCGGCTTCAGGGGCATCCACCCCTTAACCCATCCTATTTTTAACCGAATCTCAGAGCAACATCTGCAAAGAGGACAGTGCAGGACATGACTGCCAGGATTTTGATCCTCCTAAACCTCCAATCTTGGAACTGAGAGAAGGGGGCCAGGAATATAGGGAAAGGGGTGGAGTAGGACAGGGGGCAGAGGGTAGGGAGCACACGGGAAAGATGGTGAGCTCAGGCCTAGGTGTCCTGAGTGTGAGGAGAAGGTTACACATCCTGATGTAATCACCAGGTAGGAAATAGGAAGCGTGCAACATGTTGGAGAGCACAGGGAAAGTCACTGAGATCTGGGGTTTGTCCACATGAAGTTGTGGTTGATGCCTGCAAAACTGAGTGTGGCCGAAGGAAAGCAGTGGTCCATGAGTGAGCAGTATCGTAACTGGGGGAAGGCAGAGGCAGGCAGCTACAGGAGAACCAGGAGTGTCTAAGCAGGTGAGGAAAAGATTTCAGTAAATGGGGAACGATCATGGTGACTCAGAAACGTCAAAGAAAAAGTCTGGTGGAACTTCAATCCTCTAAATAAAACCTTGCAAGTGTGAATGTGAAATGCATGTAACTGGCTTCTTCATGATATATAAAATGCCGTACTGCTCATCACTGTGTCGTCAGGACCTAGCACAGCCACCTAACACAGGGTGGTCAATGAAATACTGGTTGAATCAATGACTGAGCTCTGGCGAGCACAACTGCAACCTGGTAGAAATCTCATGCAACCTATCTGATGTGGGAACCCTCTTCCCACCCCAACTCCCAAACATGACAAAGACTTGAGTGTCTCAGCTCAGTTAGACATTAACTGAACAGTATGTTTCAGGTCAGGCACTGTGTATCCCCAAGAAAGATGGGAGGTGAAACAAGAGACTTTCAGATATACGAGGCAAGCATAGGCAGCTCTCCTCTCATTCCTCAATGGCTACCTGAGCCTCATCATCTTTATCAGAAGGAGAGACTGTTTTTCAAGAAGGAAGTCAAACCTGAACACCATCTTCACATCCACTTCCCTTCCATCTCAGAGAAAGGGACAACCCTTTTACTCAAGAATAAGCCTTCTCCCCTGAACCCGGCCCTTCCCTGAGCCACAGGGACCCGAGCCATCCTGGCATCCCTACACCCGGCCTCTCTGTCACTCTGTGCAACCACCTAACTCCGCTGCATCACCTTCCCTGCAGAGCCAGGCTCTTCCTCGAGAGTCATCCTTTACTATCTTGGCTTCCTCCCTGCTTCCAGTCTTCTCTTCAGCCTGGCCTCTGCCCTAAGCACCCACCGAAACTGCTCTTGCTGGTGACCTATGATCCTTGTTGCCTGGTCAGGTGGGTCCTTTCCAGACCTGGTCTTGTCTGACCTCTGCAGTTTCTGATTTCACCATGACTTTCTGATTTGTTCAAATGTCCACCCCCCCACCCTGCTCCTCTGGTCCTCCTCCTCCTTTTAACTGTTACTTCTCGGCTCTGCTTCCCCTCTCTGCCCCCCAGACAGTGGCATTCCCCAGGAGTTTAGACCCTGCTTCCCTTACTCTCACATTCGCCAGATGAGCTCATTTCTAACCACCACAGCTCCAACCACCATAAGGACACCGGCTTCCAGATAGACGTCTTCACGGCAGAACCCTCAACCACACTGCTTGCTATTCATCCCACCCAAATGTCCCACAGGCACCACAAGAGCAACACCAGCGCCACTGATCCGAACACCTTTCCCCCAAAACCCGCTTCCCCTGGATGCCTCAGTCAGTTTCAGCTACGCCCTCAGAAGCCTAGGAGGTAAGTACCCTAGGCTCATCCGCTCCCTCGCGCTCAAATCTGGTCAGCCACGATGTCCCATTGTCCGGCCCTTCACCCCTCTCTCAGGCGGCACCTCGCACCTCGCTGCCGTCCCCTGCATCAACGCTTCAGGCCCGTTATTCTTCCTGCTGGAGACAGCTGCCGCCGGCGGCTCCTGCCTCCTCGCTGCGCCCTCTCACCTGACTCCCAGCCCCGACTGTCCCCACCTCCACTGTGCCTTCTAGAACACCCATCTCCCATGTCACTCCAGTGCTCAAAAGCCCTGGATGTGATTCCCAGCACCTCCAAGATGAAGCTCTAGTTCACCTGCATGGTGTACACAGCACACCCAGCCCAGGAAGCTCGCTTTCCCAGCCTTCACTCTCCCATTCCTGCACCTCACACCAGAACTCCAGCCATTCTGGACTCTTCGGCCCCCAAACAGGTCACCCTTTCTCTCCTCTCCAGGTGTATGTGCACCCACTGCTTCCTTTGTTCTGCTGGTGACCGGTGTGTGATTCCTGCTTCTTCTTCCTAACTCATAGTTCACCCCCTCCCTCACCTGGCCCGGCTCACTCATATTTCAGTGTCAAAACTCACCTGCTCCGGGGGGCTTCCTTTCAGTTCCCGGTTCTCCTGACACATTACCTGTAACTCTGTCACAACACACGTGCCATTGTGCGAGCGTCTCTGCTGTCGCTGTTGTTAGCCTGGCTTTTCTAGTGGAGTTTCTTAAGAGCAGGCATGTACCTAATTTATCTGTATATCTTCAGCGTTTAGTAGCCCCTCAGAGAGTGCCATACAAGAAACGATAAGTGTCGAATAAACAAAAAGAAGTGTCGAATAAACAAAAACAATAATCCAGTCTTTGACTGGATTATTAAGCCACAGTGACGGTTTCATTCTCCTTATTTTGCGCCACTTCAAAGCTCCCAGCCACTCCTACTAGAAAACAAGGTCGTCTGAATTCCCCAATCGCTGACTCACGCACACAAGCACACCCTAGCATTGACGAAGATGCAGAGCACGTGAAGACAGAGCATGACCTGCTGGCTTTCGGAGGATTTTCTCCCATTCCATCTCCCAAACAGAGCAAAGTGCGGCCTGGTGGAGCCTGGGCCTGTGTAAGCCCCGTTATACCAATCATCGCTTCGGGTGGCGAGAGCCCCTGGTGCCTCTGGACTAGAGCTCTGCTTCCCTTTGCTCGAAAGCCCCTGCGCAACCTTAGCAGACCCGAATGTGAGCACGTGAGGCAGGCAGGGAACAGATTTCCCCAGACCGCTCTCCAGCGGTCTTTAAGTTCCCGTCTCTGCCCCTGGCGCAGACAGGAGGAAGAGGGCCGTCGGCCCCGCCAGGGAGGAGTCTGCGCAAGAAACCACAGTACCTTGGAAGCCCCCAGTTTCCCCAAGTAGGAATCATCGTTATCCAACACAGGCTGCTGGAAAGGGTCTCGGGTGGGAGGCATGGTAAAATGCCCGACGAGAGAAGCTCTTCAGAGGGCTGGGAGGCCCGCACAGCCGCACACGACCTTGAGCGCGGGAGATCCGGGGTCCCAATTGTTTGGAACGCCCACTTTCGGTTGCCAGACAACTGCCCCACCGTCTGTGACTGAGGTGGGGTCTCCTCAACAAGAGCGCCACCTGGCGGTTCGGCGAGGGAGGCCTCCCTCTGCACGCAGCTACTGGGAACCGGAGGCAAAGGGCGGCTGAGCACGCCCAGGAGCCCCGGATTTGCGCTCGTAAACCTCAGGTGAAACCGCGGAGGCCTCTCGGCGGGCAGGGCTAATGCAAAAGACTGCGGTTGGCGAAAGGAGCCCTAAAAGATGACCCTGATGTTTTTTCTCCCTCGCGCCAAACAAAAGGACTTTTTCAAAGCAGTAACAGAATGGGGATGTCCAGAGAAGGGAGCCCAGGTGCTGCGCTTGGAAAACTGCCGACTAGGCAAATTCTTGCTTTAACCCCGTTTAACTGTCTCAAGGCTTTGCATCGGGTCGGTTGTGAAGGCCCGGATGGAGGCGCAGGGATGGAAGGAAGACCTCCAGAGGCGGCTGCCTTTGCAGTAGGTAAAACCTTCCCAGCCACTCCCTAGGCTGTAACTTCCAGAGGAGAAACGACGTCTCATTTTCTTTCTAGCGCTTTGCGCACGGGACGTGCTAGTATTTGTCGTACGCCACATCTGCAGAAATAGAGATGCTCATAAATAGGCCACGACCCGAAAGGGCAGTGGAAAACATGAATTTGGTGGCGACGGCTTGGAGGACGCTTCCACCGCGTTTTTTACACGAGCCCCGTGCCCGCCGGTTGGGCCGGTTGCAGACCCCTGGCGCGCGCGTTTCCGCGTGCCGCGCGCCAGCGGCGGCGGCTGCCTTGGCGACCGGCAGGTGAGCGGCAGAGCATCGCGCGGTCCCTACCCCACCCGCGCGGAGGGAAAGACGAGGCGGTTGCCAAGGCGACGTGGGTAGGAGGAGACGAGGAAGGAGGGAGGAGGAAGGATGGGCGGCTTCGGCGTAGCCGCCCGGAGGTGACTGAAGCGAGCCCAGCCCCTTGCATCCTCCCCCTGTGAAACCTCCCTCCCCTTTTTTCCGCCTTCGGCCAGCCGGGGCAGCCGCCGCAGCACCTGAGCCGCTGCTGCCGTTCGCTCCGGACGACGCTATGGCCGAGCCTGGGCGCAGCCTCCATCCCTCTGCCCGAGGCAGGGGAAGGACTGAGCGGCACACACTCCGGCTTCTACCGCTCCTGCTCTGGCTTGGGACCGCCTCCCAGGTGACCCAGGCGGCCGAAGTAGAGCTTCACGCCTGCAAAGAGGTACTGTCCTTCCCGTCCCGACCCCACTTTAGTCAGAAAAATCTTGGATGCCGGAGGGGACGTTGGGGACCTGGGCACAGACAGCTTCAGAGGCCTCGGAGTTTAGGATGCGTTGAGGATGAGGGTAGGCGGGGAGGGCGCGGAGTGGACAGGCGTCCCAGAGAGGCCAGCCCCCTGGAGGACTCACCAGTTTGGGCTGCTGAGCTCGGTGGGTCCCAGGACCCACCTTCTGGGGCCCGGGGGCCTGGACTGCGGAAGAAGGGGAGAAGACGGGTTGTTTGCCAGCTGGGATGAAATTACCTTAAAAGTCGTTGAGAACAAAAGCTGTGTGCGTTCAGAGGAGCCAAACAGAAAGTGGGAACGGGGAGAAGAGGGGCAAGAAATCCGTGTGCTTTTTACCATGGCTTCGAAAGGAGCGTGCAAGCTGTGCATGGCTTCAAAAGGAGCGTGTTGCGCAAAAGGAGATGTGCAAGAGGTACAGGGAGGCCCCATCACTCCTCTCTCCCCTGGTGCGGGACACCTGGTCACTTGCTGGCTGCTAAGTAAGGTCCCTTCACAGCTTTGCTTCCCCACTGCACTTTGCTCAGTGTACCCGACAGCACCTGGCCCACCTCTACCAGGCTGTGAGTTCTGAAACATTTCTCTCTCCACCAATCTCTGCTCCCCTTCTCCGACTTCTGCTGACGTATGTCGTAAGTCTTTTTCAAGGTGTTTCTAAACTGTTGCCAACATAATTCAGACAATCAGTACCCTCTGGCCAAAAAGGCCTTTTGGATATTCTTTTTGGAGGGATATCTAAAGGTATTAAGGAGTAATAAAACTCAGTCATTTCTATAGTGTTGTGCCATGAGTAACTTTTTTTTTTAACCATATGGCAGAGACAGCAACAAATATTTACAAGAACTTCATTGGGGAAGGCAAAACAAAAGTTGTTCTGTTAGTTCTGAGAAAACGTGAAAGCCTTTATAATAATACATCACGGGTCTAGCCCTGTAAAAATAATCCCAAATGTCATACTTGGCTAAGGTTTTGAGACACTGAAATGTTTTTTTCTAAATTATCAGTGCTACCTAGTTGGCAGCCACAACCCCACCCCATATGGAAATGTATTATTACGGCGTTCTAACCACAGACTGTGCGCAACATAACAGACCATGAAGAGGTAGGGGCGGGATAGAATTTCTGTGTGAGTGCCGATGGCTGACTTCATTCATGGGTGCAACACAAGTTAGTCCCCAGTAAGTGGGGCTTCTGAAAACTTCTGTCAGTCCCAATGACTCCCTGTCTGGGGCCACTTTCTGATCTGTTCAAAGATGGCCGGGAACAGGGAGATTTTGGCAGTGACCGTGGCTTACTGGCCTTGGCGGCTTATTGTCTCTAACCAACTAAGACAAACAGTTCCAGCAAGGCCACTGGCCTAAGAATCCAACATGGGAGTCTCCTGAGTGGAAGGTCTTTGTTGACTGGGTAGAATGTGAGACATTTAAGAAATTTAACACTCTGTATCATCTTGGTTTGGAGGGAGAGAATGTTGATACTTGAGAACTTTGAATTTGGTTACAAATTTTCTCTTTAGTCCTTTTTGAATGACTGACAATTGTTAAGCAAAACATCTTGCCACAGAGAGCCAGCCTAGGGCTGCAGAAAGCCCTGGAAATCCACACATCAGCATTCCAGTCCCTGTCTGCCGCTTACCGCCCCCCCCCCAGTTTTTAGATCTGTAGGATGAATGGGTATTTCAGTAACACCCACTTCAAAAAAGGCTGATTTTTAAATCAAAAGGAAAGTCCAAATAAAACACAAATTTGAGTTATCTAACCCCCTTTCCCATTCGGTGTCGTTACCACAAGATCCACATGCCAGGCCAGAGTGAAAGTGGCTTGGGGCTCAGTGCTCATTAGTCTTGGAGTCAAGTTCTATTTACACTCCCCTTGAGCAAACAGTGGCAGCTGAACACCCTTGATTCCAAAACAATAAGGAAGAGAATAAACCCATTATTATAATATTCTTCACTTGGCATTATGAACCGACCCAACAAGTTTCAGGGCTTCCACCTAGATGGTGAGAAACCAAGCGAGGGTAGACCGGCCCTTCTCTGGTCTGTGTCTGCGTGCGAGTTTCTCTTGACTCCACGTTGGATGTTAAAGGCCAGGGCCCTTATCAGGCCAAGGCTGACCCTGATGGTAAGGGTGCCATTCCAGCCTTGTTTCTGGAAGCTGAGGCACCCCTCTGGACCTCCTCAGAAAATACAGAGGTTCCAAATGTGGCCTACATGTCTCTTACTCCTTAGAACGTGAGTTCTAGATTGCCAGCCCTGAGCTGGGGCTTGGCATTCCTTTCACGGGTTCCCAGTCATCAGGGCCACCAGTGGAACCAAACATCCTGTGTGGGGCTTGTCATTTCTGCAGCCCTGTGCTAGCCCGGGCTGCACGGGCAGCCAAAGGCCCAGCCATTGCCTGCGGCATGATGTGTCCACATCAAATGCAAGAGAAGCTGGAGGCTGCCTTTAACACGTGTGCCTGCCCCAAGGCCCCATAGTAAATGCCCCACACTTTCAGGGACTCCCTGATACACACCAAACAGCCCGTAGGGCTGAAGAATCTGCAGGCACCGATTGGGGTAAAATTCCCTGGGTGAGTGATGACTTACCTGCTGTGCAAGGGCACCACGGTGAGCAAATTAACTTCGGACAGCCTCAGATTCCTGAGCTGTAAAATGCGGATGGCAACACCTATCTCATAAGGCTGTCGTGAGGGTTAAATTAAGTTAGATAACACACGTGAAGTGTCTAGTACGCAGCCTTGACATGTCAGAGGTGCGTAAGAAAGTACGCAGGACAGGTAGGTATACAAACAATGACACGTAAATGATGAGATTAAGGTTAATTTGTGGTAAACAGTGCAGCGGTGGCCGGAGAGAAGTTGATATTTGAACGATTGGTACTTGACCTGGAGCAATCAGCAGAATTTCAGTGGGCGGAGGTGGGGGAAGGGTGCTTTCTGGAGAGAGGGAGGAGCCTGAGGGAAATCGGCAGGTAGAAAGTATAAAAGAACCTGAGAACTGCAAGAAGATCAGGTGGCTGAAATGTGGAGCAGGCGTGAGGTGCGCTAGAAATCAAGGTTGGAAAGTCAGAAACTAAGTGAACGTCTGTCCCAAAAAACTTCTGGCTGAGACGGCGGCCTGCGAGGGTTGGAGTGGCCTGAGCACAGAGTAACCGTGGCAGGGGCAGGGCACAGCTGAGGGCAGAGAGCTGGGGGCCCGGGCTCCAGTTCAGGAGACGTCACCGAGGTCAAGGACAAGACTGACGGAGGAACTGCTGTGGGATGGTTGCAGCTGGGTCCGTGGAAAGGTGTAACCGTGAACAATATGCTGGACCCTGACCAACATGGTTCAGTGTTACTGCATTTTGTTCATTTTCAGTGTTGTAAAATATTCCTTTGTGCGACTGTGTCACAATTTAAAAATTAATTCTCCTGTTAGCAGACGTCTGGGTTTCCAGTGTTTTGCCATTTCAAACAGTGCTGCTCTGAACAGTGTGGAACCTGTCACCTGGTGCACAGGTACAGATTCCTAAGAGTACAAGCCTAGAAGTGGGGTGCTGGGTTGTGGGGTACAAGACAAATTCCGTGAATGTGCCTAGCCTCAGACACCCTAAGTTAGGGCTTAACTCTGTGGTCACTCTCCCTTTGTAAATGACGTCATTTCTTCAGAGCTCTTGGTGGGGGGAGGTAGAGTCATGCTTTCCTAGAATTGTACTGTTTTTCTCAATTTTCAGTGGTTCGTAATCTGATGCATCCCAGGCCGAATGGGTTTTCTTTTTTCTATACTCACATTGGGATCACCCAGTAATGGAATCTGGGTGAAAGCTACATTCCAGGGGTGGGCTTCTGGAAATTGGTAGCATTTTAACATCTCAGTGTATCACCTTGGGATAAACTCCAAGTGTCACTAGACAGGAGGTGGCCGCTGCTCTCCATGTTGCCTGAGAGGACGCTGAGGTGTCATAATGGCTCTCAGAAAAATGCCCTCTGGGCCATCTGACCCCTTATCCAGATTTGGCGGACTCAGTTACCTTTTAAAGGGTCCTTTTACATTCAGGATGAGCCCTGAAATGAGGGGCTTCATGCTTCCTTAGACACTGCAGGGACTAACTTCTAGGAAGAGGACATTGCCAGGAACTGTCTAGCCCTGTGGCATTTACATAATTTCTGCAAATGTAGGTCTTGTTCATATTCCCATCATCCAATAGTAGAGATCTTCTTTGCCTGTGTGCTCCTTATTTTTAAAAGAAGATCGTTAGCCAGAAAACTGTCTATTTTTAATTTGGAAGTGGCTTCTCTGCCCCAGAGAACCTTTCAGTAAGAAGGGGACCCGCATCAGTTAGCTTTTGCTGAGTAACAAACAACCCCAAGACTTTGTGGCTCAAAGCAACTATTTTTAGCCCACAATTCTGTAGGTTGATAGGGTGGCTCTTTGGGCCTGGGGCAGCTTGGCTGCTCCCTGCTGGGCTGCCTTGTGTGACTGGCCAGCTAGTGGGTGGGCCACATGTTAGATAAGCTAGGATGGCCACGCTCAGATGTGTGACAGTTGATTGGGGTCCCCGGCTTCTCTTTTAGGTGGCCTCTCACTCTCCAGCAGACCAGCTTAGGCACATGCATGCAATGGCCTCAGAGGTCCAAGTGCAGTAAAGCAGCAAGCCCCAGTGAGCAAGCTCTTTTTCAAGACTCTCCTTGCATTGTGTTTGCTGATGTCCTATAGGCCAAAGCAAGTCACACGCTCATGCCATGAAATAGACTCCACCTCTTGAAGAGAGGCCCTGCCAAGTCACATACAAAGGGGCATACATACAGGAAGGGAAAGAATGTGTTGCCGTTTTTACAGTGTACCTCTGTGAAAAGCTGACTTGATACAAACAACCGCTCTGACTGACTTATAGTTATAAATCTGGTTAAGAGCTATGACAGAAAAGTGTAAGATATGATGAGATTATTACAAGGAGA